AATAAATCCAGAATTAGGATAAGGAGAACAAGCCTTTATTAAAGCACAGGGTCAAATCATTACGGAAGCTCAGATAAGTTTCACTCCCGTCACATGAAACCGTGCAGATTTTGCCTGAAGTATACGTTACTGTGACAGTGGCCTCTCACTGCACAAAGGGAGAATGGTGTGGCTGTCTCTCTCTCAGATGATAACCTGACATATGAGACCAGATGCAGAAAGAAAAAGCGTAATTTAGATGTAAAGCTCACATAGAAGAAAAACAAGTTGTCTCTTTTCCAGTCATACAATAAGCATCATTCATTTGGAAAGGTCAATATTAATTAGCAAATCCAGCAGGGATATTCTGTCACAGGCTTTTCTATGCATCTGGTTGTTCTCTATTGCAAATGAAAGATAATCCATATTCAGTTAGAGGTTTGAAAGCTGTCTTGTCTCTGAAATTCCAACCTCCTTTAAATGACTGGTAAATATAATTAATTGAATTTAAAAAATTAAACATGTTCAAGTAGATTATCCTTGACTTCTGTTTTGGCTGCTTCCATAGTTCTGAATTCTTAAGTTTAAAATCAAGGTAATCTCAAAAAAAACCCAGCAGATAACCAAATTGAGTTACATGCCAGACTGACCAGATAGTCGCATTTATCCTTGGGGAAGGGCTGGCATTTCTTTCATGCCTGGATTTCAAATAAAAATGTAGACCAGGACTCTCAAGGAAAAAAGACACCACCACCATCTTTGGGTGGCATCTTTGGATCACAAACCAAAGCCCAAATTCACTCTGCATTGCTCCAAAGACCATTTTATGCTTTTAAGATACTGATTGTCCATCCCATGGAACCAGTAAGGCACTAGCTGAGATGGTTCGCTCCTTTCAGGGAGAGTCCAGAGAAGATGGCTGTTAAGATGGCCTGTCATCTACAAATACATCTTTGGTCAAAGGGAGGGGAGTTCTAAATGGCCCCTGTTGTAGACCCAGATGTCACTAACTTGTGAAGTCTGCATGGAGGATGGAAAGCATGAGCTAATGGTGACAGAGGCTAACTGCATTATGTAACCTTAAGTTTGTATTTTAAAGACCACCACGGCACATGGAGCAATAAACTTGAAACCGCAGCTCCTCCTTCCTTGAAGTATTTTGTTGTAAATTTTGCGCATGGGTAATGGATAATTAGAAATAGGGTTTTAGTCTAGAAATACATATTAAGAAATGAACACTAAAAAAAAAGCCTTAAAGCAACATACAGCATTTCAGTAATTACAGTTTCTGAAGTATGCAATGACTTTTAAGATATTACACGGAATATCAATATGAGTTACACTCTTGAATGACTTAAATTTCCATGTTGCATAACGATGCAGTTTCTATTTACCACTTAATACTGAATTTAATAATTCTGATGAACTACTGAAAAAGCTCTTTATGTTTTTCCGACTTCACATGCTCAAGCTCACTTTTCTTTAGATAACGGCTTTATTAGATGATTTGTTGAAACAGTCATATGTACCTATCTAGTCTACAAACTGTTTGGAAGAATGATATTATCTCCATGCACATTTATAAGGAGCTCTGAACATAATATTAGCAAGAAAAGATCAAATTAGCAACTATTTGTTAAATGAACAGTTGCATATTATACTGCTCTAAGTATTTTTTTAATCAGGATGCTCTTACTGCAACAGAATCCTTATGCTCTAACAATGATACTTTTGCAGCTGTTAGCTTCCCTTGTTTCACTGCTGTCACAGATCTCCCATATACAGCATTCTTTCTACACTGCATTGCCGTGCATGTTGCCTGGATAACACCTCAAAGACAACCTTTGGGTGTTTCGCCACGTACGCTATTTAGATAAAAGCTTCCATATTATTTAAATTAATTCCCTATTTCTTGCTGATTGAGTCTGCTTTCATATCTGTTTTAAATCTTTACCTATAACCCTGTGGACTGCAAGAACACCTTCTTCCTTATTTCCATCCCTCTAATATTCTAAATAAGCAGAGACATTAATCTCTTTTTTCACCTCCTCTCCAGAATACTTTGATGGAATTCTCTCCCACTACTTGTGAAGTCTGATAATAACACAGAACAGTATTACGCATGTATCTCCTCTATGGTTACAGATTGGGCTTTCCTGGATATCCATTTGTAATGGCCACATATGTTTTGCTTCTGATTGCTCGCCCAGCATTGCATGATCTATTAAAGAGATGTTATAAGAAGCAGTCTCAGGTAGTCTATTAGAAAAACAACACATTTTATCACACCTTATCGGTATCTCTATGACCATTTAAAACTCAGCTACTGATATTCTTTCAATGCCTTATGGATAGATTTGGTGGTCTGAGATGATTTTTCTAAGGGATAGAGGTCCCCATTACAACTCATCGCACAAATTGGCAGCTTGCTAATAAATCTCAGCATAGGCACCAAGGATGAGAAGATATGGAAGTCTCTTGTCTCTTCCATGTCAGAGCCATGAAAGATTTATAAGGGAAACCTTGTAGTGTTGCTGTCACTAATACCGAACAGAGAGATTTCGCCACTGAGTTTAGCAAACCAGAAATATTCAAGAACACCATAATTTATTAACATCCTGTGTCACTGACTTACACTACAGATATTAGTATGTAATTTATTTATACAGTGTGACACAGTAATTATTCATGGCACTCTCTAGACTTGTACAAACGGAAGGGCCCTTCCCCCAAAAGCTGCAACTGACTTCAGCCCAGCTATAGAGATTTGGATAACAAAGGGTCTGAAAAAGGAGTAAAACGAAAAGTTTACAACATATGCTCAGCATCCAGGTATTTTTTATGAGTTTTGCATTGGCTTTTTTATCCCTAAAAATATGTACAACCATTACAACCTCAGAACAGCATCTGAAATACAGCACATAGAGATATTAGACTGAATTAATAAAGTAGGGTTGCATGGCAGAACATGAGGGTTTACAGTGACTATAGTCATAGCTGTTTTGGTTGAGAAGTGAAGTCAGTTATGGGGAAAGGTTGAAAGGTGAGCTGAGCTAGGAGAGTAGGGTACTGATCATGCACATGCAACACGTATAAAGCAACTGTAAAGAGGAATCAGATGCACGGTGAAGGTACTAGAGAGACAATCACGCAAATATTTGATTTCGCAGACTGGCTGGTTTTTATGATATATCCTTTTAGGTTGCTATGGGCTTTATACAATTAGTTTTGCTTGCCTCTGAGAGCTATACTCAAACCACTCCAATCAGCAGTACGTGGGCCTATTCCTTTTAACGCTTTGGAAGTTCTACCATTGCTGTACCAATTTTGTATTGCACACACCCAGCTTCTCAATGAGCTTGACTTGAGTTCAGTGCAGCAATGCTACATTAAATGGCTATTTTCTAACTCATAGATCTGGAAAATGGGGTTTAATCAATGACCATTAGACCTTGCACTCTCTTCTGGCATAAAATGCCTTCTTTCATCCAGGGTTACTGCATTGTTGTTTTAATAAGTTATGATTGGCATTTGGCACTGAGTTACAGGAGCATGGAGGCCTTATTAGCAGGAAGAAATGAAAGTATTATGGAACAAAACAATTAAGTGGGACAGGAAAACTCACAGCAATGTGCCAGATTGTGTCATGCTCGCATTTCACTTCATGGTGTTGAATTCCCCCTATAAGTACAAGGGGATACAGCTAACAAAAGTAAAACACTTTTCTGCTTAGGAAATTGTCCTGACAGGTTATTTTCTATAATTGGAGACCACATCCTAAGAGGTTCTGAGCATATGTACTCCTTGCAGCCAAAAGGCCTAGTCATAGGCTTTTTACTACATTTACTTCAGTTAAAAAAAAAGCTTATGTACTACACCTTTGCACCACTTATGTCTCAATTAAATCTTCAAATGTCTTCTTCTTCCCCTCCCACCCTTACTAATAAGATCTCCCTTCCTCAAAAGCTTAAAGTAGGAACTGAATGACATAAAACCTCTTTCCCAACGTTTCAACATTGCAAAAGAAACTGAAGACCCAAATCTGTGAAATGGAAGTGTCCTGGAAGCCTCAGTCCTGAAGGTGGCTAAAGCAGAGCCACCACAGTTCATTCATTAGGTTCTCAGCTCCTCGTAGGAACCAGCCACATGACACAACGTCTTTGTCTGGTGGTTTTCAGTCTCAGAAGATCAGGAATAAACAGGTGGTTTGCACAAGGCAAAGTGCCCAGGCTTGTCAGATTACGGGTGGGAAGAACCTTATTCTGTCTTGTCTAGACTATAAAGAGCTGATAGCAAGATATTATGAACATGCATTTTCCTTAATCCTTTACATCAAGAACAAGACAGACCCACATTTTAACATTTTGCCTCCTTGTTCTTATGTAGGTTTCAGCTATGAACTGTCATGAATTGGTGGCTCTGTCTCAAAGTCTCACAGGCTACATAAAATCACTTTAGGACAGATGACACCTTCTGTACCAACACAGTATCTTTTTATTTTCTTTTTCCCCCCCAGTATTATTTATTGCATTATTCCCTCTGTATCTGTACAGGCACATTATTGAAAAAGTACATGTAGCGAATGCTGGGCTAAATTTTTAGGAGGGACTCTGACACTTTTTAAAATTTTGGAGGAAGTTTGAATGACAAAATTTACTTACTGTAATATTCAGAACAGTAATTGTGTATGCTCATCTACTTAAATACTCC